CATCGTGGACATATGGAGCCGAGGTATCAGGTGTATGAACATGAATAAGGCCTGCAGGGGAGACTGATGCACAGACGGGTGCAGCACACTAGAGTGGTGTACGTGTGCCAAAATCTACAGGTCAACAAGACGGCTTCACAAGGGAGGGAAGTTCTTGAGTGGGTTTTGGAGGATGAATAGGAGTTTGTTGGGCTGGCAACGGTGGCAGGAGGTGAAGGAATGCAGAGTGAATTGTGGGAAGTGGAGGGGTATTTATGGAGATGCACAGCAGCTCAGTGTGGTCCGAACTGGCACGGGAGAGGCAGAGAGGAGGAAGAGGAGGGGAGGCACTGAGACCCAGATGCACTTGGGCCTGGCCAGGAAAGGCCTTGAGTCTACAACGGAGACTACATGCTGTCTTGCAGACACCAGGGAGCCACAAGCAGCCTGTGAGCAGGGATATGTCACAACAGAGTCCGTGTTTTCAAAAGAACTACCACCCTGGCTGAGGTGTCCTGGACATTTTTGCAGTGGGCTGTTCTATCACTGACACTAACCCACCTTTGAAAGCCCAGAGTTAGACTCTCGGGAGCAGTCACCATGCAGGGTCCCTGCTGGGCCTGGGGCACCACTGAGTCGGAGCAGCTACACTTGAGCCCTGGGAACACTGGCTGTGCATGCAGGTCCAGCTGGACACCGTGCCCCGTGTGTCCCAGAGACTGAATGACACATGAATGTCATGTTTATCTGAGTCCACACAGGCAGTGAGAGCCCCAGGAGCATGGCAGCTGCTGCGTCCCCCCCCCCGCACCTGCACGGGGCGCTGGGGCCGCACGGGCAGCCGGCTGCTTTCCTGCCTGTGTAAGGTCCTCCAGGGCCTTGGCTGGGTGACGGCCGCAGCCCAGGTGTGAGCAGGTGTGTCCAGCACCCACGCTCCTCTGTGGAAGGGCTCCTCTGTGGAAGGGTTGAGAAGGACTAGGGGAGGGGCACCCGGGTGTCGGTGACTCAGGGCAAGTCTCGGAAAGGACACTGCAGGGAGCAGGGTGACCGCTGTTGGGCTGTGCTGATCACGAGCTATAGGAATCAGTGAGGCAGGGTTGGGGGATATCAGGAAGGAAAGTCACTGCCAAGGACACACAAGGTACCGTCCACCAGTGCTTGCGGCCACCGGGATGGGGCGGGGAAATTGAGGCCGGAGTGGAAGGAGGAGGCGGGGTTGGGTTGTGACTGGACCTGCACTGCTGCTGCTCAGCACCTCTGGCCCCTCACTAGAGTGAGCGCAGTCCCAGGGAGATGGGTGACCGACCACGGGGGGGTCCTCGCGGGTCAGCCGCCGAGGAGCTGCCGAGGACACGCTCACAGGCCCCTCCTCGGCTGGACACACTTCTCCGCAGAGCCAAGCATCACTGGTCCCATGGCAGACACCCAGGGTGTGCGTGTGGCACCCAGACCTGGCTTCTGGGTCAGTGATCCTGATGAGTAGGTGTGAGCACACTCACACACATGCACACACTCACAGGTGTATGCCCACAGGCATCCTCACATGTACACACACCCTTATGCATACACTCACACAAACGTGTACACACAAACGCATGAGCATGCACACACACACACACAAACTGACACATGTATTCATGCGTACTAGTGGACATACATATGCATTCACATACACACATATGCTATCACAAACACGTGGTCCTCACATGCAGGTAAACATGCACCTACTCACAGGAACACGCACACATCCCTTAACGCATGCATGTACACACATACACACAGTCACATGTGCCCATGTACACACACCACTCTGAGGTCAGGTCATCCACCCACCTTCCCGTCGTGTCCCCGGCTATCCTGGCATCAGGGTTGTCCCAAGGAGGCGTCTGTGATGGCCACGGCCCCCGGGAGGAGAGGCAGCACCCTCATGGTGCCCCGAGGGAGGGGGTGGGGGTGCCTGTGTCCAGCTGCATCCTGCCCGAACATCTGCTGGCATCCACCAAGGGTCCCAGCTCCCCGGGATGGGCCCAGCCCGAGACCCCTGCAGGCTGACCTGCCCAGACCACCGCAACGCGGATCCCACGATCAACCTGGCACCTCTCTTCAGGGCCCCAGGTGGGGGGAATGTCCCAGCACTGGCCTTTGCCCCCAGGCAGTCAGCGGGAACAAGGGCTGGGGCCGTCACAGCAGGTGGCAGAAACGGAAGCACGGTTTTTCTCTCACGTCACTAAATGGAAGAAGAGCTGGCTTGTGCCGGGCCGGACGGGGATGGATAAGCCATTTGGAGAGAACACGATCCCAGGGAAGCTTGCCACATTTTTTTCTAGAAGAATGTTGGAAGTTCTGGTGGCCAGGTATGGAAAAAGAAAACCTCCGTACACTGAAGTCATTCACGGCCAGTGGTGTGGAGGCGTTTACACAGGCCAGGTGGTGAGGGCGCCGCTGCCCCCCTAGCTGCCCTGGCTAAAAGGGCCAGTTGTGTCCGCACGCCGTGGCCGGTCACCCCGAGCAACACGAAAACACACATGAATGCGCCTTTTACAGCCGGAGCCTTCCTCACAGGCTCCGGATAAACGACCGAGCTGAGCAACATGTAAATTTGTAGTTAGCCCTCGGAGACGTAATTATAGGAGAAAAACAAGGACAGTGGCATTTGGACCGGGGACGGCTGGTTCCTTTCCTGCAGCCAGGCTTGGTGTTGGGGAGCCGTAGTGAGGGAGGAGGAGGCTGGGCCCGGAGGCCCCGAGGCCCCAAGACCCGAGGCTGGGGCTGTGGGCCCTGTCCCTCTCCTCTTTGCCCCGGGCCTGCCCTGGGCACTGCCGTTCCTTGGGCCGAGCCGGAGATCTCCACCCCAAGCCCTCGCTCTGCGGCTGCCCCATGAAAGGGCCCATTCATGCCCCAGAACGCTGGCTTGGGTTACCGCGGCCGGCCCCGTCTCCGCCACGTCTGTTTTCTTTTCATTAGAAGGATTCCCATCTTGAAGGCCCACGAGAGGCTGAATCCAGGGCGCTCAGGCTGAGAATGTTGGGCCATGAAGAGCCACCCACAGGCCCCGGCATCTTTATGAACGAGTCTGACTTGCCATGGTAGATGGGGAAACTGAGGCTTGGGCCATCTGTTGGCAGATGGCGGGGTTGGGGTTTGGACTAGGGCCACTGGCTGTCTGCTGGCCTTGCTGGGAGGAGCCTGGGCAAGATGGGAGTCCTGAGCCAGTGTGTAGGGCGTGGAAGGCTTCCTGGAGGCAGAGGGGCCGGTGCTGGGAGGAGGGGATAGGAGAGCTGTCAGTCCTGGGAAGAGTCTGCCTCGGAAAGTCCTACACTGCCGCCGAGCCTCTGCCAAGTCAGGGGTCCCTCTGCCTGAGGTGAACTCCTGCCAGGCCCAGGGGCATGCAGCCCCCACGTGTGAGAGCACGGGGTTGGGGGTGGGCATGGTATGTGGAGGGAGGGGGTGACTGTGTCTGTGTGTAAGACCCTCCTTGGGAAAGCATCCTCTCTTCTCCCTCTTTTTGCTCACAAACGGGGCCACGGAAGACAGGAAGACAGGCAGAAACAATCGTGCTCCGGACGGGTGTCTGAGTCACGCCACCGTCAGTCTGGAATGTCTCCTTGGAAAGAGGCTGCTTCTGAGCCAGCCCCACCCGCACGGCCCCCGCTCAGGCCTCCTCCCCCTGCCTCCCCTCCTCCCCCGGCCTCCTCCCCCTGCCTCCTCCCCTCCTGACCCACCTTCGCTGGGGGCCCCACCTCCATCACAGCAGACCCCACAAAGGCCCCAGACAGCTCATCGAAGCAGCTTTAACGCATGCCTGCTGGGGACCTGAGCTGCACTTAGGCAGTAAAACTCACGCCACACTTTATAGATAAAGATTTATTCATTTCCATTTTGTACTTTCCTGATAGAACCTGGACTTTTTTTCGTTCCTGATGTCAGGAAGGAAACTTGTAGGTGGGTCCTGGCCTGGGTGCCTGAAGGAGAGGGACATGTCAGCCGGTCATCAAGGGCCCTAGAGTCCTGGGACCACATGCTCCTCCTCCCTTGGACACCGCTACTATGTCCAATAGCTCAGAGACCCCCAGAGATCCCCAGCCACTGTCCGGAGGAGCTGGGTCTGCCCTCCCAGCCTCTCAAATCCTCCCTGAGTGGTGGGCATTGATGTTGCCACCTCCCAGACTCAGAGAGACTGCTGATTTGCCCAAGGACACACAGCTGGCAGAGTGCAAGCAAGGGACGGAGGCCATGCCTGCCTATGCCAGCCTCCCTGAATTCACGGACTATTTGGCAAATTCCGTCAATATTATGTCCCTCATGTGGCTTCCCTGGAGCCCACAGGGACAGTGCACAGGGCATACCTCCCTGGGAAGTTTTGGGTTCCACACACGTCTATATTTGCTGCGTCCTTGCCAAGGAACAAGGAAAATCTTCATGGATGGGGCCTGAGAGCAGCTAGATCCATACCACCCCCACCAGGACCCCTGGGAGAAGTGGGGGCCCCCAGAGCTCAGGCAGCCGCCCGCCACCAGGCCCTCAGCCTGAACTCAGCCCGGAGCCCGCAGCAGGCAGAAGCAGGCAGCACAGAGACTGGCTCTACCACAAACTCCTGCGTCCTTATATGGGCTCCCTGCCTCCTCCAGCCTCAGTTTCCCCATCTGACAAAGGAGGTTAAGGAGCCTGAGATGGAAGATGACACTCGCTGAGAAAATTCCAGGAGAGCTGAAACATCCAGTTCAGGACGTCACACCACAGGCCTGGTCCGTGGCCAGAGGTCTGGTCTCCTGGGGAAGAAGGTCTCATCCCCAGGGACCCCACAGGAGAGGATCCACCATTGGAGCCGGGGTGGACATCGCCTTTGATGCTCAAGGCTACCTGGATGGATGGGTGTGCACATGCCAGGCACTGTCAGTGTCGAATTGGAGCAGCCATGTGACACTATGCCCCTGGAATTTACTGGAGGTTTCTCACTCCTCCCACCCCTGCTCTGGCTTCGGGTCCGCGGTTTCATTTTGACATCAGGCAGAAGTTAGGGGATGACTCAGGGGCTGACTGGCTCTCCCAGCACGCGCAGGGGCCCAGGGAGCCCGTGCCCCTGGGGGGCAGCCAGCGACGGGCAGTGTGGGGGCTGGTGGGCAGCGGGAGAGCCGGGCTCCGTATCTGTGACTTCGGGTAAGTCAAGTCAGACCCCTGCCAGGTTGTGTCCTCTTGGAGAGGGGGGCTCAGCACAGCCCATCCAGCTCTTTTCCAAGCAAATGAGCAGGAGCTGGGCCTCCCATGGGGCAGACCCACGGGGTGTCCTATCGGCCAACTCCTCCCGAGAAGGCAGCTTCACATCCAGTGGGGAAGAAGAGAAGGCTCCAAAAGCCAGAGGCCTCTTTCGCTGACCACCCGGAGGCTGGAGGCTGCTGCCCCCGGGATTCCCCCAGGGTCCCCATCTGGGACCAGATAGTCCTCTGTCCTGGGGCCGACCTGCGCTCTGCAGGAGGTCTGACAACTCCCCTGGTCTCCACCTGCCACAGGAGACTCCCGGGGGAGAAGTGCTAGGCCTCACCCCCTGGTAGGTGTGCCTGGAGGACTGGAGCGGGGGCTCGGGGGCAGTCCCCCTAGGGGCACCGACCTGGAGGGCTACGCTCCCCGTGCGTGGGGTGGCCAGGAGAGGCTTGTCGTATGTCCACAGGCATGTTCTAAGCCCTCTGGGAGGTGAAGAGGGTAGCCCACCTCTCTCCATCAACTCGTAGGACTGTGGTCATGGGGCAGCATGGAGCAGGGTCTGCTGCCGCTTCCTCCTGCTCATGAGAGAGCTCACTTCTCACACCACAGGCTGCATGGGTGTGCCACAGCTGGACACACACACACACACACACACACACAAACGAACTCTGAAAACTGCGGCCTTTCTTAGAAACAAGAATAGACCCATTAGGAAGGATTAGGAAGGAAATACCTTCTGGGAACTTTGTCTGAGCCAGGGGACCCCCAGCACTAGAAACTTTAGGAAACCAACTGATTGAAATACCGATTAACCCGAGGGGACTCTTAGTCCCTTGCCATGCCGCGTTCCGTGGAGAGGGCGATCCCAGGACCCTGAGGCCCAGAATGATGCCACGGAAATGTGAGCTGAGGCCCGGAGCCCCCAAGCCCCTAGCCCCCAGGTTCAGGTTTTCAAGACAGCTGGCAGGGATTTCTGGAACCTCCTCTGACACTGTAATGAGCAGCCAGAGGAAAACTGAGTTCGATTCACAGCGTGCTTTAGCTGATTGTGAATTGTCGGTGAAGTGCTCAATGCTCGGCCACTGATGGAAACTCACAGGCTACGGGGTAGTGGGGTGGCGGCAGCCCATTCACTCATTTCCAAAGGCCCTCGTTACCTATACCTTGCTTTACATAAGAAAGGTGTTCCTAAGAGGGTGTGAAACTTGAACTTCAGTAGTCCAGCTCCCCGCAGCACTCTCAGGGGAAGCATGGTTCAAAGGACTATTTAGGAAAGGACGCCCTTTCTGGAAGTGAAGAATTCCCCCCAACTTCACGTCTTAGAAGCCGTAAGCCTACGCCTTGGTACATCTAAAGTGCGGAGGGGCTGCAGCTGTTGCAGGACACCTCCCACGAGGACTGCCCCCTGATCTCAAAGGACCCACATGTCCACACCAGGAACTGGCCTCGCACTCCTGCCTGTCCCAGGATAGCCCTTGTCACATGCTCTGGGCTGTGTGGCTTTGGGCAGGTCCCTTGCCTTCTCTGGGCCTGATGTCCTCATTTGTGAATGAACCCCTGAGCAGCTGACCTGTAAGGGCCCCTCCCGCTCTAGGGGCCTGCATGGTTCCATCTTCCCACCATCTGTGTTCCAGGCTGGGGGGTGGGGGGCAGAGCAAAGGCACTCTGATTCTAGGGACCCTGGACTCCCACCTTTGAGGCATGGGGCTACCTCAGACGGGAGTCCCCCAAGTAGGTGCCAAACAAGAGGGCTGCCCTCATCCTCCTGACTGGAAGCACAGGGGAAGAAGGTGTTTACCCTGCTGGTACCTGGTGGGGGCAGGAGATGAGGCAGGCAGGGATGGAGACAGGAGCACTTGGAAACCACAGGACACACTTCAACAGCCTGGAAAGTTCTGCTAAATCCAGTATTTGCCTCTGAGCAGCAGCAAGACCCGCCAGTCTTGGGTGGGAGAGCAGGGGTCTGGGCTTACATACCTTTCCTATGGGGATCCCCATCTCTAGGGTGGGTCCCCTGAAACAAACACCCAGGAAGAGCAGTGCTTACAGTAGTGGGGGCGGGGGGCGGGGGCGGCCGAGGGGAGTGAAATTTTGTAACCTTAGCCACTGGTTCCCGGGGGCAGACCCCGCAGGCCGCCGAGGGCTGGGCGGAGGGCGCTCGGAGCACCCGGCCGGCCGCCGGAGCTTGTTTGGAGAGGACTTGGCCCGCGCGGCCCGACCTGGGAAGCGGGTGGAGGTTGCTTTCCTCCTCTCCCCACCCCGCCCCGGAGGGGCAGAGCGCTGCGCGGCCGGGCGGGCCTGCGGTCGGGGATGAGGACTGCGCCTCCGCGCCGCAGAGCGCCGTGCGCGGGCCGGACGCCGGCGGCCGCCGCTGCCGTTCCGGGAGCTCGTTTGCATCCGCCAGCGCGGCGAGCGGCGCGGGGCCCTCGGAGCGGAAGGTGAGTGTGGATGCGCCGCGCCGCGCGCCGCCCGAGGCTGCCGGTCAACGCCACCGGTTCGGGCGGCTCCGGAAGGACTCAGGGCTTGCTCCCCGGGGTCACCTGGCCGCCCCCGCCCCTCCACATCCCCGCGCCCTCGGTGGCGCGCCCCGGCGGGACCGGACGGACACTCCCGGCCCTCGCTGCGCCGCGGCCCGGCTGCCCCGAACTCGCTCATGGCCCGGGACGGCCGTGCAGCTACTCAGACGCCAGGGCGCGCCGGGGGCTCTGTGGGGGCCGTGGCCGTGCCGTCCGGCCTCAGCCCTGTCCAGCGCCCTTGACAAGAGCTTGGGCCAGCTCCGCCGGACACTTTGCAAAGTGCAACCCAAGTGCCGGGAACTGCGAGCCCTCCGGGGCCGCTGGGCGGTGGGTTGGGGGAGCTAGGAGCCGCCCCGCCGGACTGCTGGGAGCGGCGAGTGGGGGACGTATGGCCAGGGATTCCAGGGTGGTGCGGGAAGGCCGGGCAGGGACGAGAGCCGCGGTGGACGGACCATTCATTGCAGACCGCAGCAGCTGGTTCCCAAGCCGGGCCGTTGCCTCCTCTGGGTCGCCCCGGGGCGTGCTGGCTCTGTGGCCCTCGGTCAGGCAGCAGAGGCAGCAGGAGGAGCGGGGTGGGGTCTTTCCGGTCTTGGGGGGCTCTGCGACGCTGTGCTGCTGCGGGGGAGGCCACGCGGCTCCCCCACCCGGCCCGCGCCCCTGGCTGGCTCAGGGCACCAGGGGAACCCAGCCAGAGGGACCCGTGGGGACGCGGCGCCGCGCGGCGGCAGCCGGAAGGGAAAGCCAGCCAGGCGCACGGAGACTTCCCGCGGCCGCCAGACCCTGCCCCTGCCCTCTTCACTCGAGGGGCAACGGAGTCTGAGGGACAAGCCTCTGGGTGCGGAGGAGGTGGTGGGGGGTTCTCGCAGTGGCAACCGCTGAGGCCATTAACCCTTTCTGGACGGGCGTTTGAGCAGACGCTCCTTACTGTGTCGGGACTGTGCCACGTGTTACTGTGCTTGGTCCTTCTGTCCTGAGCGAGGTGTGCTGTATCCTGGATGAAGAAACCGAGGGTCAGAGAGGTTAGGTAACTGGGCCAGCACAGCACGGCTGGTGAGCAGCGGTGCTGACAGCCCTCTCCATTTCATCAGATAGACTCCACATCTGCGTCGTGTCCTGAGCCCGCTCTGTGCCCCCACACTGTCCCAGGCACCCCCTGACCCAGCAAAGACCCCTGCCTTCCCGAGAAGGAGCAGGGTAACAGGCAGTGTCAGACAGGGAGCTGGCTGCGGGGGAGTGGGGCGGAGTTACGGTCTTAGGAAGGGCAGCCAGGCTGCCTCTGAGAAGGTGGCCTGGGAGGGCGTGCCCACATGTCCCTTGTGCCCAGTCTGGCAGGTCCAGAACCACACAGCAGAGCCTGCCTGGAGCCTCCCTGCAGGAGGAAGAGGGGGAGTCCTTTTTGAGGCAAATAGGAAGGTTGGGCCATCTGGAGAGGCACCGTGGCCCCTCCAGCGTCTCAGCGTGGGAAACACAGGTAAAGGATGCATGATCCCCACCTTGATCCCCGGCTGGCCACCCTGGCAGGCAATGTGGAAGCAGCAAGTCCCAGGATTTCAGGGTCAGAGGGAACTTAGAGGTCATGAACTTCAACCCCCTCATCCAGCCTTCAGTCTCCACCAGACCCAGCCTCCAGGTTGCCGACTCTGCTTGAATACCCCCAGTGATGGGAAACTCATTCCTCTCAGCAGCGAGGTCCCACCCTTGAAACCCACTGGAGAGCCCCGAGCCAGCCCTGCTGCAGGTAGAGCAGAAACCTCCCACCTGTGGCTCCTATCGACCCCAGTCCTGCCCTCTGGGAGCCAGGCATTCGGGCTAACTCATACACAGTTGCCTCTGGAGAATGTTAACAGAGAGGTTACATCCCCTTTCAGTCTAATCTCGGGGCCTGCACCTTTTCAGACTGACTTCTAGGCCAGGTACCCTCGCACCTCTCTCTTTCTCTTTCGGAGAAGGTTGGCAGGTCTCCGCCAGCTTCACATTCGTGAGCACCAAGGTGGCCTCGAAGCAGAGACCTGCCCTCACCTCCTTTTTTCTGGAACCCTGCCACCACTGATGGTGCCAAAGATGCATGTGCCCCTGGACGCCGCTCACACGGTGGCTTCCTCTGGAGCCTGAGACTGCCCAGCCCAGCACGCCCCATCCCTGTTGGCTTTGACTCTAAGAGTTCAATTACCCTCCTCTTCCTTGTTCAAAAGGGCCAGCTGAGAGCGAGGGGCAGGCCATGCAGATCAAGAGTGCAGGCTCTAGAGACAGCTGTCCGGGGGCTGTGTGGGCAAGTCACCAGCACAATGGGGGACCTCGCAGGGCCTCATGGGACCCACCATGGTGCAGAGCGTGGGGGCACAGGTTGGCATGCCCAGCCCTGTGGTCACTGGCCTGAGACTCTCAGAGACTCCACGGGGTCTGTGGGAAGGGTCTGGAAGATGCAGAAGACAGGAGTGCGCAGTGCTAGCTGCCAGTCCCGGACAAAGGGAGGTTATAGGGAACCGTTGTGCTGCCTGGGTCCTCCTGGTGGGCCCGCTTCCCAGCCCATCCCCGCTGGCCCTCCCACCTTGGCTTTGTTCATCCTAGTTGCACGGTAGGGAAGAGGTAGGGTAAGCACAGGAGCAGCCCGCTCTTCTGCCCATGCAGACAGAGCAGAGCTGGAGCCCAGCATTTGTGGATGGCCACAGTCCAGCCCGCTCTCCCCTGGAAGGCGCTCCAGGTCCATCAGCATACAGAACGCCAGCTCCCCCTCCCCACTCCTGGCCTGGATACTGGGCATCCGGTCTCTCATCTCCACTGGCCCACCTTCCCCATCAGGGTGCCCCGTCCTCTGCTCTGCCCCCATTCCTCCTGGCACCCCCCCATCACCTGTGGGCCTGCCTGTCTCCCACTCGCCTGTCCCCTGTGAACAGGAAGCTGATGCTGGTGCTCAGACCTCTGTCCTCCAAGCTGTACAGCGCACTCAGCACTCCCAGCTTCTATTGCCAGCTTCATTCTGATAGAATTGGGGGCTGAACTGAGTATGGTGGAAGGAGGGGCGGGGGGTTAGTGAGCACTGGGAGACGTTCTTGCAGGTGCCTGGGGTCCCTCCCTGGCTAGTTTATCCTCACCTTTCACTCAGTGACCATGGCCAGGGTGGCAGACACTGTCCTTGGGGACTGATTGTAATCTTGTACTTCATTCAGTTCCATCATTTCCCTGGTTGGAAGGAAAGGTGGGCCTGTACGGTTGGGTATGTTATTCACTGCACAAGGGCACCCAGCTATATACTATACTCCGCTCACCAGGCCTCCGCTTGCCCAGGCTGTGTCCATCCTGGGGGTGCCTGTTCTACATTCTCAGAGGATCTGGAAGTGTGAGTGGCGGCCCCATGTTAGATGTGTGAGCAGTGCACGCAGAGCTGTCCTTGTTCCCGAGGAGGCCACACGCAGTGCAGTCACATGCGCAGCCTGGAAGCTGCCCTCCCATAGGACCAAGGCCTCTGTGCCTTCTGACTTGGGATTCCCTCTTCCCTCCTCAAACGCTGTCAAGTCTCTAGGCCCCTCAGCCTCCTTTGGTATCCGTATCACTGGCCCCTCTTGGCCTGGGTGTGTCCCACCAACTTGGAGGGAGCGTAGGAGGCAGGGTGGGGCCACTCAGGGACCCTCCCCCAACCGATGTGCTGGGGGGCCAGGGCCTGGCTGCGGTTAGCACAGAGAGTTCCTGCGTCCAGATGGTCCTTGGAGCCTACGGCCCCGCCCCTCACACCACGGCCTGCGGTTGCCAGTCCTGAGTCCCAGAGACCAGAAGTGAGATCAGTGACTGAACTGGCAGGACTCAGGGCTGTGACCCCAGCGTCAAAATGTAGGCTTCCTGCGATTACTCATCCCAGCTCTTGTCAGGATTGAAGTGGTCTCTGAGAATTATATCCTTGTATAAATAAAGCCAGCTTCTCAGAGCACAGCTCCAAATATAAGCTCCCTTTATGACCATGGGGAGAGCCTGAGGAAGGGGGTGAGCAGGCAGGGCTCATCTGGGGAACCCTGGGGGTCACCTACCACATCCTGACACCGTCAGCCTAGGCCCCAGCCTTCCCATCACCCAGCACTTGAAGCAAGAGGGGCCACCACCTGCCACCCAGGAGCTGGCAGCCCAGCAGTTGTGTGTCCACACCAACAGCTCCCCCCTTCCCAGGTGGGGGTGGGAGACCCTCCAGTGAAGAAATGAGTTTAAAGGGAACTCAGAGCCTACGGTCAAGTCCCACTCAGCCTCCCCAAGGCCAGAACGAGGCAGTGGCCTCTTGGAAGCCCAGAGAGGGCCAGGGGAGGTGGTCTTCAGGGTGTGGAATGCAGCTATTTGTCCTGGTCTTGGCCACTCCACCTGGACCTGGGGTCCGCAACCGGTGGAAGAGGGCAGGGCCGTGCTGGTGACAACAGGAGGCGAACGTGCCACAGGTGGACAGAACTGGGCCCCATGCCCAGGCAGCCTCCTCTGCCATCCCCGGGCCCTCCTGGCCAGCGGGAACCAGCAGCAGGCCGTCTGCTGCGGCCTCTGTCCCGACTCTGGGCTGTTCGCAGGCTTGCATCCCAGCCAGCAGCCGAACAGACTCCACATTCATGAGCAGCCTCGAGTCTTCCCAAAGGCCCAGCCTTGCAGAATGTGACCATTGCATTTTCCGAATTCCTCTGGGACGACCGGGCCAAAGTGGCCATGTGTAAGCAGGGCCTGCTCCTCTGGGCCTTGCATGTGTCCAGCAGAGAAGCTGCAGAATGGGGCCTCTCTGGGTTCCCGGCTGGGGGAGCTGGGGGAGCGGTCAGTGTCATATGGCTACGGCCATGGCCAGACGGGGCGAGGGAGCCAGGACCAGGCCCTGGTACTGGAGGAGGCAGCCCTATTGGTGGAGGCTGTGGGCTGGTCAGTGTCCTGTGTCCATCAGCCTAGCAGGAATCTTTTCTTTTAAAAACAAAACATAATTCGTGCACCATAAAATTCACCCTTAAAAAGTGTACACGTCAGTGGGTTTTAGTATATTCACAAGGTTGTGCAACCATCGCCACCATCTTGTTCTAGAACATTCTCGTCGCCCCAAAACAAAACCTGGACCCACTGGCAGTCACTCCAGCCCCTCCCCCAGTCTTGGCAACCACTTAGCTGCTTTCTGTCTTTGCCCATCCTCGATGTTTCACACGAACAAAACCACACCATGTTTATCTTTCTGACTCTCTTCACTGGGTGCTTGCCCGGCACATCCACATTGTAGGTGGGATTGGCACTTTGTTCCTTTTCGTGGCTGAATAATATTCCAGACTCTGGATGACCACACTGTGTGGATGAGCCCGATATGAAGACATGGGCACAGGCGTTTGTGTGGACGAGTGTTCTCATCTCTCGTGGTTAGACGTCCTTAGGGTCAGGTGGCCACTCTAACCTGTCACTCTGAGGAGCTGCCTGAGCATTCCTCATGGCAGCCACACCGTTTCCTATTCCCACCTGTGGGTAAGGCCGTGGGAACCCCGACCCTCTTCCTGTGACGTGGAATCCCGGACCGGGAGGCGGAGGCACTGACTTGGGTCACGTGCCGGGAAGAGGGGCCCAGATTCAGCCTCTGCCTGGGCGCGGAGGCGGGATGGAGGCCAAGGGCGGCCACCATGACCCTGAGGCCGTGTCTTTGAGGAGCAGCCCTGTCCTGCAGGAGGCTCTGTCCTCTGGCCCCACCAGTCCCTGAGATGTCTTCCCTGAACTAAGGGGACACCCAGGCCCCTCCAGGGAACCCTGCTGCTCTGCCAGAAATGTGCACTTGCTCGCCACTCCCACCACCTTGCCCAAAGGGCTTTTTCTCAGGACGAGGGAAAGTGGTGCCCTTGGAGAGAGACCAAGCACATGACTCAGGGGCCACTAGCTCTGAACCAATCCCAGGAAAGCCCGACGTCACTTACTGAAGTCAGATGAACATGTAGAGTGTTAGCTCAGGTCCGTCCCAAAGTGGACCCCGTCCTGCGGTTGTCTCCACAGTTCCAGAACACACAGCCGGAAAGACGAGTCCGACAACTAGTGGCGTCTGGGACACCCGGGGAGCGGGAGCAAGTGGTGTCCTCCCTGGCGGCCCCGCGACCCCGCTGGGTGCTGGGCTCCCTCTGTGCCCCGTGCCTTCGTCCAACAAGCGTTTGTGCAGGGCCGCCCGGGCTGGGCTGGGCCCCAGGTACCGCCCCGCCTCACCCCCACAGGAGCTCAGCATATCTGGGGCAAAGTTTCGAAGGGGACTTCTGTGCAGGGTCGGGGAGGCCAGGAGGAGACGGTGTTCTGGGGCTAATCCCAGGAAGAGAAGAGCAGGACCCAGCGACAGGTTACCAGCCTGTGTGTCCAGCCCACCTCCTGGCCTGTAGAGTCCATGAGAAGCTGGAGCTCCACGGCCCACACCCCTGCCACGCATGCCGTGTTCTGCTCAAGGGAGCTGTAGACCATGGCCTGCCCATGTCGCCGCGTGAGGCCCCGTGCAACCATCAGAACAGGGGTGTGCAGGTGTGTGTGTGTGCACATGTGTGCCTGTGTGCACATATGTGAGTGTCACGTGCGTGCATGACAGTGTGTTGTGAGTACTGTATGTACACGTATAATATAACATTACCAGAGTAACGTTACCAAAGTAATTACTTAACAGGGGTAAGTTTAACTGTTCTGAGAGCCACATTTAAAAACAAAAAGTGACAGGAGTGAAATTGATCATATTTAATACGATATGTCCAAAAAGGCATCTCTCCAGCATGAGGTCGATACATGATCAGTGAGGCAGTTTAGGTTCTTGAGATCTGGCGTGTGCTGGCAGCTGCCCTGCCCTGCTGTTCTCCAGGTGCCCTGCAGTTGTGGCACGCCTGACACCACCCCCAGCACAGGGCCCTCCCCTCTTCAAGCCCACCTCACCTTCTCACCTGCTTCCTCCAAGAGGTCTCTCCAGACTGCATTTCCTTCTCTGGGCTTTGTGACCCCGGATCAGACCCTGTCTCACCCAGGCCTGCTGAATCAAAAATCACTAGAGGAGGACCTGGGGCCTCCATGTTCATAAGCTCCCCTGGCGACTTGAAGGCTTTTACCCACGTTGAAGTTTGAGACCCTCCTAAGCCCTTATCTCTTTGTTCCTAGGTGTCATGTTTTAGGTACGCCGGACAGCAGCTGTCCACACACACAGCACTTCCTTGCCCACTGCCATATCATTGCACGTGCTGTTTTTCTCTCTTTGGGACTTTTGGAAAGCTCCTATTCATCATTCTAAACCCACCACCAACATTGCCCTGCCTTTCCTCTGAGGTTTACCTCCCGGGGAAGCAAGAGTCCTCTCCCCTCCATTCCTCCTTCTTAATTCCACCCTGTGCATGATGGGTCTACCTCTGAAGTCCCTGGTGTGCTGGGACCTGGTCCCAGCTCTCCTCCGTGTTCCCAGAGCCTGGCTGGACCCCCAGCATGAAGCGACCTCCAAGCATGGATGTGGAATAAATCTGGGCATGCGTGGGTGGGTTGGTCTCTGAAATCTCAGTAAACATCTGGCCACAGGGCCTGGCAGGAAGTTGACCTCAAGGGTACCACTCGGCTGGCAACTGTCTATAAATACATTCTAAACTTGGACCAGCCCACGTGCATTCCTGCTCCCCACCCCGGAGTGCCCTTCCCAGCGGAAGAAAGGCAGCCGGCGGCCCTGCAGGCCTGACCAGGGTGGTCGCTCCCAGCAAGCGGGAGCGTGTCCACTCCGGGGTCAGCTCAGGGCCCGGCGCATCCGATTGTTATCTGAGCACACTGGCTGCAAGGCTAGTGCCCAGGCTGCATTTAGCTCTGAGAGAGGCTCCCCGTGCCGGCAGCGTGCTTTTCTTGGACGTCTAGGCTGTGTTTATGCCGGGCTGGTGCCTGGGGAGTAATTAAAGCTTCAGAGACTCCCAAAGGGGCCTGCCTGCCCTGGATAGGTGCTGGGTCTGTGTGCGCAGGCCCGAGGCCCCTGTTCCATGCGGTCTGTTGAGAAAAGACTGAAGCTGGGCTATACTCCGGTGGCTCTGAGCTGAGCCCCATCAGGGGACTCCGGTGCATCGGGCAGGACGAGGGGTCTGGGGGAGGGTCAGCCAACCTGGGCTTCTTCAGTGCATCACCTCCTGGATGCTCAGCCCTCCTGCCCACAGTCCCCACTCAAGGTTTTTCCCCCCAGCACCTGTATGGCCCGCAGTGGGTCTGAAAGGGCTCTGGCTGGCCAGGACTGGTATCCGGCAGCCGGCGTCGTGCTCCCCAAAAGTGGAGTGGATGCCTCCCGGCAGCCCAGCCTCTTGGACACACGCCTTTGGCAGGGACTGTCAGCCCCAGAATGTAGAGCAGTGATGGGGCCTGGGAACACAGCCCTGTGGCTGGAACGTGGTGCAAGCCCTGGGGACCGCTCCACATCCTGGTGGCTCTGCAAGGAGGGGGACAGGCGGCCCCAGCCTCCACCGTGTATCTGACCCATGTCTTACCTGTGGTCTGTAAGATCGACCCCAGAGGCACTTCTCATTTCTCTGGGTTTAGCGGGGGAGGGGACAGCACTGTGTGTGCCCAGAGCAGCCTGGGAGGCAGGGTTGGGGGTCACGCTCCTGTCCCAGCTCCCCTGAGACATCACGCCCCACGTGTCCTGGAGCCCGGCTGTGGCTGGTGGGGTCATGGCCCCAGACGTCAGGGGACTGGCAGGTTCTGGCAGGTAAGGGAAGGAGACACTCTGTGTCCAAGGGGACTCGGGGCTCAGGGACTCCCAGCCCCGTGGTTTCCATGAGGTTTCCATCCTCACGGTCCCCTCAGGCTGCTGTGCCCGCCCCAGGCACCCACACCTCTCAGCCTGCCCCACACCCCCTCCCACCCGCCCACCGCCCCACCCACTCCCCTGGACATCACCTCCACCCAGCCAGTTCCCCAAGCCTGGCTCAGCCTAGACCCTACCTGGGGCAGATCGTGCAGGCAGGGCCTCAGGAAGTTGTGGCAAGGAGGATGTTTCTCTGACAGCAACAGCCAGCCAGTGGGGAAGCGCTGCAGGGAGTGTGAGGTGTCTGGAGGTGGAAGGCAGAGGTACGGGGGTGGTTGTATTAATGGATGATATTTTGTTATAATAGAGCACCATGTGTAACATAGAATTGTATACATTGTATCATGCAAAGTATAGAACCATGCCTTTAAGTATATACTTGATGTTTATAAACTGCACACTGGGGCTCCTGGAATGGTGTGCCATTCCCAGGCACCACCTGCCAGGCACCATGTTAGAATTTTGCCCGCAGACTGATGTTTCTCTCATTGTACCCCTCTGGGCGGATTAAGACACTATAATTGCCACTTGAGACTCCAAGGCTACAGTGACTTGTCTGAGTTCACACACCCGTTGAGGGGAGCTGGGGTTGGAACCAGGTGTCAGCTCCGGGAGGCTGTCTGTCCATCCCCACCATGTGGCCCCCACCACCAAGAGCATCACCGCACGGAGACTGTCCCTCCTTTCTGGACACCTGTTCCCGAAGGCCACAGCCCTGGGCTGTCCCCAGTGGACTACGCTACCTCAGTCCCTGCTGGTCATCTCACACCCGAGCCCCTGCACAGGCAGAGTCACCCACAGGGATGTCCGCTGTCCATTCACTCATCTTCGGTTCCCATCTTACACCCCCTCTCTGAGCACCTTCTCCTCATCATCCCACTTTTAGTTGGACCATGTTGTGTGCACCAATTACCTTGAGTACAAGTGGCAGAACAACTCTTGACTGGCTTGTGGGACTGAGAAGGCCCTGGGATAGTAGGATTCCTGGGCAATATCTCAGAAGTCTGCCTCTCTGCCTCTGGGCTCTATCTTTGCTGCATGGGCCTCGAAGGAGACCCTCCTGAGGGAGCAGGGAGGCCTCTGTCCTACCCGCCATCCCAGCCTCTCCTTAGTGGAGGTGTGCCCACCACGCCCCAGTCTCTGTGGTCTGAGCATGCCCTGGGGCAGGTCTGGGTCGTGCGCCCTCCGCCGGACCGGTGGTGGGAGCGGCCTGTGTCTCTCCCTTCCCCATCCTCCAGCCCTCATCGTGGGGTCTGCCCCTCTCCCAGCTGTTGGGGAAGAGAGGGTGAGGACAAGGGAGGTGGGGAGGGCACAGCTGTGCACCCTCCTAAGTTAGTAATCTTTACTCTGACACATAAACACGAATCCGAATATTTATATAGGTGTCCTGTATGTGTGTGTGAGATAGACTGATTCTGTCTAGGAGACTTCTCTTAGACACAATTCAAGGTTTCAGTGGCTACAAACGTTGGAAGACCCCAGGCTCAGATGACCTCAGACCTTCGTTGCAGACATGCTGGCGTCCGGGCGTCTGGAAGTGATGGTCAGTAGAGGAGCCCGGCCCTCATACCCCAGCCTTCCCTTTTGGGGTTCAGGCCCCTGGGTGTTAGGGTGCCCAGAGCCCGGGCACAGGTCAGAGGCATCCCTGTCCTGGCCAGCTGGGTGGCGCATGGCAGATGGCACCCTTCTCGTCGGCACACTGGGCAAAGCTGTGTCAAAGAAAACAAAACAAAGGCCTTAGAAAGCACTTTCTCTCAGCAAATAAAGAGTGCCAGAGGAAGCTAGTGTTCTCTCCCTTGGACAGGCCTTTGATCCCTGCCTCCTGCTGCGGAGTCACAGGGGCTCCTGCAGTGAGCGTGGGGGGCAGCAAGTGGGGTGCGGGGCCCTCCCCACATCTCTCTCAGGCCCCCTGCTTCCCCGCTCAGGACACATCTGGGTGCAAAGATGCAGTCATCGGGGAGGAGAACAGGCTGACCGATGCCCCAAGGCAGGGGGACAGGAGTTCTCAGATGAACTTGGATCTGCGTCCTTGGCAGCGGCCCGGAGCGTCTGGGACAAGGATTGTGACCAGACGGTCAGCTGGGACCCAAGTCACTTTCCCACAGGAAAACGATCATTTTCACGGGTCCTGGGACAAAACCGATAAAGTTACAGCAGCTGTCACTGGGCTGCGCTTTTTGTGCCGAGAACTTGAGTTGCACCCTCCTGTTTAACCCACCCCACACCCCACTTAGAGAAGAAAGCTAAAGCTGAGAGATGCTGAGGACTACAGCTACCCGCTGCCGTGTAACAAGCAGCCCCAGCCTAGGGGACTCACATGACTGATTTATCTGTGTTTGTGCTTCTGGGGGTGGGCAACAGGGTTTCTGCTTGTCCCACCCAGGCCCCTCAGAGGC